TGGCTCTCTATATATATGCTAGATTTCATATAACCATATGATAATAACATGAAACAAAAACTTATTATTATAAATTAAAATTTATGGCTTGTAAAACGATTCGTGAAAATAAACTTATGACTTGTAATGATTCCCACTTTGCTTGAATAACATATATTCGAATTTGTTGAAGATCTTATTTTTTTTATTACAGTCAAACCTCGATATGCCAAACCCACTATAAACCGTTTTTCGCTTTATAACGATGCAAAATTGATCATAACCCAAAAGTTCGGCTTATCGAGGTTTGACTGTAATAGTAAAATTATAGATTCATCAATCTATGATGAAAATCATCATCGATAATTTAGGAAACATTCCAATCCATCTATTGGTACAATTAACATTCCTGGTAAATGTAAAATTATTTTAAGAAACAGAGATTCACCCTACATGTGGAAATCATTTAATATTGTAGTCATCAACTTGATTGCTTTATTAATGGTTACTAATAGTTATTAATAGTTACTAATAGTTATTAATAGTTAATAAACTAGTTTTTTATTAATTAAATTACTAAAAATTAATTATATATAAATAATAAATAAACAAACAATTGATTCAAATCCTTAATTTATAATTTCACTTTTATCCTTGATAACTTTCTTTCTATCATTTGACCATTTGTTATATCTTTCAATAAATGAATTGATTATTTTTTGATCATCATCTTGTTCTGAGAAGCTAATCAAATGTTGATAAGTTGCAATTAACTAATATAAAGAATTTATTGTTTTCAGTTAAAAATTCAAAATAAATATCAAAAAAATAGCAATAATGATAAATATTTAATTAATGTATTTACCTGATTTTTTAATTGTTCTTGATATTTCACCTCTCCAAATCCTGTACCAGCTAAATTATCAATATTCTCTAATGAACTTACTATTGCATCAAAGATTTTTATATACATCTTTCCTTCTATTCCATCACCATCGCTATCATATTTTTCTTTTGTTGCTGGTACCGACAATGCTAAACATGCATTAATCCTAACTTTAAAATTTTCTGATTTCATCACAACTCTTATTAATGATTCATATAATTGATTACTCCATTCGTTAGATTTCTTCCCAATTGGAAATTTGGGATTTTCTAACATATTTGACGCTGCATGACATGCATTCCATCTTAACTATAAAATACAAATTATATATTTATATTTATATTTATATAATATTTTGCTTTAAAAAGAATTATTTATTTTGCTTGTTTTATTTAGAGAAAATAAAATACCTTTAATGATCCAGTTTCAAAATTTTTAATCAATGATAAAACTGCTTCTTTTACCAAACTATTCTCCTCTTTTTTCAAAAACTCACTTGATCCAACATTAATAATGCTACCTAATATTCTTACTCCATTTATTCTCACCTATTGAAATAAAATTAGAATAATATATTTAAGATTATTAAATAAATAAACAAACGGTTGTTCTTTACCTTTTCCTTGTCATTTGTAGCACTTAATCCTGCTTTAACAATTTTATTACACATTTCATTTGTTAAAAAATTATCTAAATTATTATTTTTATCATTTGATTTCCTAATCAACCAATTAAAATTGATTAATTGAATTAATAAATTTTTAAAATAATTTGATGATATTTCTCTCTAAAAAAAAATTCCAAACCTTGATAGTACCATTGTATCACATAAATTTCCTAAAGCCCAACTGCTTCTAATTTTTACCATTAAATTTGTATCTGATATATGTCTTATTATTATTGTAACCATATCAGAAATAAATTTCAAATCCTTTATTTTTTAAAAAAAAAAAGAAAATCAATAAAAATATAAAATAATTTAAACCATCAAATAAAAAAAAATCAAATTTTAAAATTTTAATCAACATTATAATCAAAATCAACACTTCTACAATCATTATTATAATTGTTTACCTGATTTAAGCAAGGAAACATGACAAGCACCCCCAGACATCTACATGCAGCAGCTTTAACACTTGAACTTTCGTCTTTAGAAAATTTTAACATAACTTCAGTGCAAAAGGTTCTAATTTCTGACTAAATAATAAGTGGCTTTTTGTTAATTTGATTATTAATACATATATAATATTAGAATAAATTAATATTAAAGCTTACAGGAAAAGCCGTAAATATATTTGATGGAATATATGAAATAAAATCACAAGTAAGGGCCCTTAATGCATGGCATTTATCAACTGAAGATTTTTGAATATGTTGTGTTAATAAAGTTATCCACCATTCAAATGTTACTTTTGAAAAATCTTGAACTTTTTCAATCTAATATATATTCCATTTTTAAATATTTTAATTTTAATTTAATAAAATATTAAATTATAATAAATATATGTTTACCAATTCTTTCCCTTCTTTTCCGATGTCTTCTTCTCTTTCTTCTTTCTCTGTAACATTGTTATTAATCCCATCAGTAGAACTTAATGCCTTAGCATATTCAACCAAAAATGTCATGGATGCTGTTTTAGTATTTAAATCTTCACTAACTAAATCTTTAACTATAAGTTGATTGATGTTCTTCCATAAAGGACTTTAATAATATTTTACAAACAGACTTATTATTATAATAATAAATTTAAATTTAAATCATTTTGTTTGACAAAGAGTATTTATATTTCACCTTATTATTGAAAAATGAGTGCGTGCAAATGCACACAAAATCCCCCAACCTTCAATTCTCACAGAAGCTGGTTGATCAAGATCTCCAACAAGTTTGATAAAGTAATTAATTAAATTCATCGAATCAACCTTATTATTATTTCTGTTGTTGTTATTATTTTCATTAATAATATTGGTTTGTATAAGTTTATCAACCTCATCAATACATGACTTATTGTCAACAACTGAAGAGAACAATGTGATTACTGCAGTCTTGACTGATAAATCTAGAAAATCTTTCATCAATTAATCATTTTATTTAATCTATTTTGAAGATTTAAAAAAATTTACCTTCATGGTTTAGAAATTTTACTGTTGAATAATAAATCCTAGAAATGTATCCAGATGATAATCTATCGTATGCAACGTTATTTATTAAAACATTACAACACTGAGATAATTATAAAAAATTTTAATTAATTTTTAAAAAAAATATAAATATATCTATCGATAAGTAGTAGTAGTAATAGTAAAAATAATAAATTTTTTCAACCAACTTTTAAAAGTTGAACAAGGACAATTGGTCGAGTCTCTGTGGAGATTATTTGAAGCAACCCAGAATGAATTTCACGTACAATTACACCTAATTTAATGGAAAGCGGTGTAAAAGATGATTTTGACTCTCTTTTATTATTAAAAATTTTTTTTGGAAAAAAAAAGAAATCAGTATTATTAACAAAATAACTTTCACTGTTTATTCATTTTCTATTTTCTAATTTTTTTTTTTTCCTAACCTATCATCAGCAGCCAACAAATAATTTTTTGATCCATCAATCATTGCCGTGATGGTGGAACATGCTGATATACGGACAGTTTGAATGGGCTCATATGCAACCAAACTTATTAAAGAAGGTTCTAATGTACTTGATGAAAGTATATTTGGAAAAAATTTATGCCAATATGGATATAATAATTTTTGTGATGCCTAATTAACAAAATAAAATAATTAATTGAATATATTTATAAAAAAGATATATATTTATACGTGATAAACTTTACCTTGCCTATACTTTGAAGATATCCTAAAGCATTTAATCTAATACGTGAATCCTCATTCCTTATTTTTTTTTAAAAAAAAAAAAATTTAAATTAATATTAATATTAATATTGTTATTATTATATTTATAAATATAATTGCTACCTTTTACGAGAATTTGCATATTCTCCATCAGAAATCTCAGAATCAGAACTTAACCATGAATGACCAATTGATATAGTACGAGAATGTCTATTGGTTGATGATCTACCTTGATGATAATATTTATTATTATTATTATTACCACTACCACCACTAATATTATTAAATGTTTCGCCATTATTTATTCTTGAATGATCTACACTAATGGTTTAAAAAAGATTATTAATGAACAAAAAAAATTTTTGTGTGCAAAAAGTTTTAAGTTGAACTTTATTTTCACCATTAAATTTTCTTTGATTTTTTCCTTCCACAAAATTAAAATAAACATATTTTTTAATCACATCAATTGTTTCATTGAATGGTTCAGATAAAACATTCTTGTCTTCATTTACAACAAATTGTAAAGCGCGAAAAGTGCTACTAATAATCTTTTTATTCCCAAAATTAACAAGAAAATCAATAAAACTGACAACAAAATAAAATAAAATAACAATTAAAAAAAAATATTACCTTGAGCAAAGCTGTATTACTATCCATCGTTAAATCATAACGGTCCAACGTTAGGTTGGTAAAAAGGATTTGATAAATATTCTTGTATTTTCCTTTTAATTTATTGCCACTACGGAAACATAAATTTCCTAATCCATTAATTGCCATACGGCGAGTTTCTAGATTTGGATTTTCTTGATTCGCAAGTGGTAAAAGGATTTGTAAGAGTTGTTCATGAAACTAATTTTTTGAAGAATAAGTTTACTAAACGTATAGGTATATTAATCAATTAATGAATCAATCAATTATTCACCAATATTGTTTACCTCTTGACAATTAACTCCATTTTCGTACAATATTTGGCTTAACGCTCTTAAAATATCTACAATTTGTGATGATTGTGTAGCGTGTGAATATCCTTTGATCAAAAATGGTAGAATAATTTTTAACGGATATACACCAAAACTATCATTATCATTAAGATGTATCTTAAATAAAATTAAAGATATTAATAAAATAGAATAATAATTTAAAAAATTTAACAATTTTTTTAAAAAAAAAACTCACCATACGTTTACTAGTAAAATTAAAAATGATTTTACTAAATTTTGAAGTTAATTGTTCATCGGTGCAATTTATGGTTTGACATCCTGATAAAAGCAATTCCAATAAATCTTTTTCAAAAGTGTTGTCTGTGGTAAGATTAGTTGCTAATAAAACTTCTATCAATTGTCTAAGATCAGGTTGTTGACTTGTTTTGTTGTTACTGTTTGATGACGATAATATTGATGGATAATTTGCTCTAAGAATTTTTCTCGAGATGTCGGGAAATGAGTTAATTTTTTTTTGAATAGTCATTTTAAAAAAGATTCAGTTACACAAAACCAAAAATTCAACTGGAGATTACATTAAATGTTAACATTAATATAAATTAATATACCAAATGGCATTTCCTGACTTGAGAAGAATTTTTTCATCATTTAGAACACCAGAAGAAGAACAACAAATATCTCGTTCAGCTTTTTTTAAATTCATAGGATTTGTAATATCCTGTATTGCTATTACAATGTTAGCTAACAGAAATAAAGTGAAGACCATAAAAAACTAATATTAATCGGTAAATGCTTGCATCAGTAAAATTTTTTTCTGATTCTAAAATTCAATCGCAACAAAAAAAAATATATACATACATTATTTAAAGCGAGCAAATAATCGAAGAAAGTTTATTTTTAAATTCAAAAACTACATATAAAAAATTCTTGTCAATCGAACAATATCTTCAAATTTCATGACTTGCATAAAAAATTTCTTGGATTTACTTGCATAATTTATCATTTTTTTTCGACTTTAAAAAATTACAAATTTAGTTTTTTAAATACTCAACTTAACTACTCCTTTAGTAAAATACGCACCAAAATTATCGGTCAAATATCAGTTATTTCTTTTTTCACAATAATTTTTGCATTAAACAATAGGTTGCTGTCGCAATATATATTAATATATTTACAATTATAATTTATTATTTTTTTTTAAAAATTAAAGAAATCATACTATAATAATACTATTTACCTACTTACAAGCGACCGTTTTTACCAATGGCTTAATTCTCTAAATATTAAATAATTATAATTATTATTTATTATATTTAAGAATTCTAATAAATAAATTTCTCAACTTATTTCACACATTAAAGAATTTGACAAAATCCTATGTTTCGGTAGAATGGAAATCACACGCATAGCATACAATTTGACCCAGTATATAATTTTATAGGGTCAATTTATCTTTTGATGCTTTAGTGATAAAGGTACATCCATGTTTAATTTTGAATACTATGTGCAGTATTTAATAATAGAAAATGAAAGCAAGGTAAAATCGCATAATGATCAAAGATCTGCTTGGATCTGCTTTAACATGAGAATTATTTAATCAGTTAGCTAGATATTTTTATCATATACTGTAAATACCTCAGGATCATGATTGATGGATCAAATTCTAAAAAATATTGTTTTTTTAACAACCTTCACATTTATTCAAACCCTTCTATCAGCTATGGCCATAAACAGCGAAAAGTGAAGTTAATTTAGAAATAACGGATTAGATTGTGTTTTTAATATTGAGGAAGCGGCATAGTGGAACTACTTTTCTGTAAAAGCATTATTATTAAGCCCATATATCGCAATGTCAAATTTGCCGTAATGCATAAAAAATTTTCAACAATGCATGGTTTTATTAATGCTCTGGTGGAAAATAAAAAACATTTTCTTATATTTCAAAATAATAGTAAATCGCTTTTTTGAAGAATTTATCAAATAAATATTGAAGTAATTAAAAAAATTACAACTAAAATTGATTATAAAAAAATTCATTGAAAATATGTTTGGATAATGATGATAATATAACAACGTCAAAGAAAAAGTTAATGGCAAGAGCGATGATTGTTTTATAAATAATACATTAGTTGAGAAAATCATTCCCACATGAAAAAAAATGCAAACCACGCATGCCGCCTGCTTTTTATTGAACGCACAGCTTCATCGGCACATAGAAAACTTCCGCTTTCAGAAATAATAATGAGGTATTTCCCTATCTATATCGTCTCCTTGTTCAATAAAGTATTCATTTATTATACAGAATAAAAATCTTATTTTTTTAATCTTTGATAATAATTTGAGTCAATAAATTTTCTAGTTTTCTTGGTCCAATCTATTTATGAAAAATTGCTATGAATTAACTTTAGTTTGTACAGATTCAAATTTTCTTATGTTGGACGCGCTTTTGTGGTTATACCTGGAAATTTCATACGATTTTCTTTGTCGACATCTAAAGAATTACATTGTAAAAATTTATCCCATGCATTTTCTAATGCATCCAAATCTTTGATCCAAAGTTCTTTGGCCGACATTCCTGAAATTACTGCGAATTCATCACGTAAAATCTTCTTCTTCTCTTCATATTTATTAATCTATATTTAATATATTCATCAAATATAATTAATAAATATACAGTATAATTTGTTATAATTTATTTATTAATTTACCTCTTCTTTACTAAAAGTCCAACAAGTCATTCCCATTAAATAGTCATAACCTTTAATAATTTCATCACTATATATTTTGTCAAATTTATGTGACTCAAGAAGCTTTACAATCTCCAACTTCTTCAAGCCTTCAAATTTAATTCCGCCCTCTAATTTCATATTAATGAATCTAATTTTATTCTCCATTTTATTAACTTGTTGTTGTAATTTTTCAATTAAATGCAACTAATATATATATATATATATATATATACTTATTAGAAATCAATAAATAAAAATATTTAGAATAAATAAACATCCAACTTACTCTTCTCTTTATATAAAGATTTAATCGTACTGAATAGAATTCTTTTAATATCTCTTCTGGCGACTCATACTTGACTAATTTATTATTTGAATTAAAGCACATCATATTTGATGTTGTTATTGAGCTTGTTAATTTAAAAAACTTTTCAAGACCATCACTTTCAGCCTTTTCCATTTGTTTATTAGTTAATTCAATCACAAGATCAACCCTTTCATTCGTGCAATTGTTTCTAACGATATTCTAAAATGACAATATGTTATTGATATAGCTATAATTATAATACAAATTTATTTATTAAGAAAAAGCCAACCATACCTTGATAAAGCCATTTTCCATGAGATAAATAAGAACTTTTGACTTATAATCCTCGGTCCATTTACAAGCTGGCAATTCGGAAATCAGTACATGTGCTTTACCTTTTTTAGCAATAATACCATATGATACATATTTATTTTCGTCAATTTTTTGTATTCTACCATAAAAACCGCGATACCAAGGATGCATTGGAATCAATTCTTCATCATTAATCATTCTTCTTAAATTTTGAATAATATCCTTGGGATTAAAATTGGGAATATTGGTACTCCAACCTGTCCCTATACCGTCTACACCATTCACAAGAACCATTGGAATGATTGGGACATACCATTTTGGTTCAATAGTTTGCCCATCTTCATTCAAATGGTCAAGTAAAACATCATCATCTGGATGGAAAATAAAACGCGCAAATGGTGCGAGTCTAGTATAAATATAACGAGCGCTAGCTGCACTTTTACCTCCATCATTTCTTTTACCAAATTGCCCTATAGGTTCAAGTAAATTGATGTTGTTTGAACCTACAAAATCTTGTGCAAGTCCAATTATAGTAGAATGAAGACTAGCTTCACCATGATGATATGCAGAATGTTCAGAAATGTAACCAGACAACTGTGAAACCTTTATCTGCTCATTGACCAAATTCCTTTTAATGCAACCAAATAAAACTTTACGTTGTCCAGGTTTCAAACCATCAATTACCGAAGGAATTGACCTGACATTATCAGCAAGTGAGAATAAAGACAATTCTTTGTTGATAAAATCCTTGATGCTAATTTCATGCTGTGTATAATCAATATAAGTTCCATCCTCTATACTTTTAATCCAATTTTTACGTTCATCGGCATTCTTTTTAGCAAATGCCATTTCAACCAATTGATGATCTTCATTATCCATTGGTTTAAATAGTTTAACATGTTTCCCAAGATTTTTGAAATATTCTTTTGCTTCATTAGATGTACTGGTCCCAAGACCCTTATAATACTTAATTTCCCATCCTTTACCGTCATCATTATGACTCTTCCATTTCTGATATTCGGGAATCGTAAAAAAAGATATAACTTCTTTATTCCTTTTGCATTTGACAATAGGTGTAATAAATTCACAAAGAAAATCGGGGTTCTTTAGCAATGATGGATAAAAATGATCAAAAAGATTGATGATCAAGCCTTTAATATGACTACCGTCATGATCTTGGTCAGTCATGATCATAAGTTTTCCATAGCGTAAGTCTTTGACTGAATTATATTCTTTGTCATGTTGCAAACCAAGAATTTGCTTTATTGCTTGAATTTCCTTGTTCTCAGATATTTGCTTTATTGATGCATCTCGTACATTTAAAAGTTTACCTCGAAGAGGGTAAACACCCCAATTACTGTTTCCAACTACATCAAAGCCCGCCAAAACTAGTGCTTTTGCAGAGTCTCCCTCAGTAAGGATAAGTGTACAATTCGAAGCAAGACTGGTACCTGCATTTATGGCATCTTCTAATTTTGGAACATGGATCCTATAAATTATAATAATAGTGATAGTAATAATAATAATAACAACAAAAGGTTTAACAATTGTCGAAAAATTTTTTTTTTTTAAAAATCAAATGATTAAAAATTAAAGTATCGTGATATTTAAATAATTAAAATTATTATAAAAAATACTTGCAAACTTTTTTTTCTCCCGTCTGTTTTCTTTAATTCCTGAATTTGCCTTGATATAACATCATTCATGATGTTCTTCACTATATCCGTTTTCATCACTTTTTATTAAAGGAAAAAAAAATGTTATGAGATAAATAAAGTTTATAAAAGACTAACAATATAATCTAAGATATGTTTGTATACCTTTTTTAATAAAATTATCATCTATTCTGCATTTTGGTCTAAAGGAGTGATGTTTCAATGTCATAATTTCTTTAGTTTGAGAGTCAAAAGCAGGATTTTCAATTAAACAATTAACAAACACCCAAATATGATTTTTAATCTGAAAATGTTTAACTTTAAGATCCTTATTTTTCTTTTCGATGCATTCAATAAGTTTTGTAACTATTTGATCAATAACATGATTAACGTGAGTGCCACCTTTTGATGTGCAAATGCTATTTACAAAGCTCACCTAATTATTATTATTGTTGTTATTTTACGGGAGAAAAAATATAAATAAATATCTATAAAGTGAACACATTTGATTTACAAATGATAA